GATTTTTTTTCTAAGTGTTTGCGCATCACGCTCTTGTCTACGGTGATGAATGCGCATGTCTTGCAGCGCAGTCCATCAAGCGGCGTCCCTAGCTCTTCAATCGGCTTAGCGGGCGGCTCGGGAAGCTCAATATTCTTCGGCTCTATCCTCTCGCAGTGCGCAAAGCGTTGAACAATCTCTTTGCGCACTTTTGCGGGCGTTGCGTGCTGTTGTAATAGATGCTTGTCAAGATTAATAACCCCGCTGCCGTGCTGCTTGCAAACTAGCACACCAAAATTAGCTAGAAAGCAGAGAATATCGTCGTAGTTGTCTAGTGAGATTTCTAGCAATTTATCGTATGTATGGGGACTGCTGCTGCTGCTGCTCTCTGCGGGCACGCGACTGTCCCAGATGGGTAGCTCCATAAGACGCTTGCGTTTGTAGTCAAGTCTCGCTAGATAAATAGACAAAGTATACGCAACTAAACGAAATGTTAGATATAAGTGTTATGAGTATAGTAGTATAAGTAAATTCGCTACTTTGTATATTTGTTGTTGTGCTAATGCAACTAGTAGTCCGACGTTACCCCGGTTCTCTTAGCAACAGCGTTGCTGGGGTCAAGCCCTTGTCTGAATCTCACGCAACAACTAGTAGAAGATAGAAAAGAGAGATACCTGGGGGGCATCTAGAAAACTTTCCAAGATACCCCCATTGGGCGTTGTTCTGTTGTGTCGCGATGCTGTTGAGACTTTCTTAGTAACCCTAAACTTAGGGGTTAGCTTAGGGTTAAGCCCTAACCCTAACCCTAGATGCAGCGACTACCCCATACACTTGTATATACAACGCTGCGAGTTTCGCACTACTATTAGGGAGACTGCAAAAGACTTTCTTAGTCACTATATATGCTATAACACCCTCTGGGGCCTATATTGGGGTGTACTTGGGGTTAAGTCAACCCTAACGCTAAGCCTAAATAGTGCGGCTTATGGGTGTCAAAACAACGCGGGTTTGGGGGATCAAAATGGCCCGATACGGGCAGAAACCCTAACGCTAAGCCTGTTTCGGCGCGGGTTATGGGATAACCCGCGCCTCATATTGGTTAGGTAGCTAGACTTGATGTGCTAGATGCACTAGATTGCGGTCCTTAAAATGCTCTAGCCATTGCGTGCGCTTAAACCAGAGCGTCTTATCAGTCTTTGCTGTCTCTCCTACGACTTGTTCTGCGTCTTCAAGTTGCTTTTAGACTTGTTTGTAGTTATTAAGTTGTTGCTTATTAACGCTTTGTTGCTGCCCACTTCTGCGACCAATCTTAGCATCCACATCAACGACAAAATATTTGCGCAGCCCTCCACTGTTAAAAAACGTCTAAACTTTAACTAAAGTAAATAGACTACTCTTGTCACCAATCCATGGAAGCTCGTGTGTTTTTTTACAGTGCTTCCGCATTTCGTCGCTGCTTATAGTAATGTAACTACATGCTGTACACCTAAGACTATCTAACGGCGCCCCTAGCTCTTGTATTGCTTTCGCTGGCTGCCTGGGAAGTTGAATTGTGCTCGGCTCTGCTGTGGAAAATTGATTGAAATATTGAACAACCTCTTGTCGCTGTTGTACGGGCGTCTTGTGCTGTTCTTGTAGATGCCTGTTAAGATTCAAGACGCCTGTGTAGTGCTGCCTGCACACAAGCACTTTATATTGCCTAAGAAAGCAAAATACATCGTCGCAATTCTCCTTCGTAACGATCTTTGGCCAGTGCTGCACGTCTATGGCGCGTGCGTTGCTGCTGTCGTGCTGCTTAATAGGCGCTCAACTGTTCCATGTGGGGTTCTCCATTGTCGCGCAACCCTAAGAACGCAACCCTAATAACAACAAACTCTAGCTGCACATAGTAAAACTCTAGTAGCGGGTTGTGCATGCGCTTTTAAGTTAACTTTGTATAACATAGTTTTTAATAACGATAAAAAAATGTCGTGGGGCAGCTGTGTTGGGGTACGCAGGGCATCCCTTAAATATTCGCCCAA